CAATCCAACAGGAAAATGGTACAGATGCAAACAAATTATTAGTGTAATTATAATAACACATTATATTATTAGAATCACACAAAATTTAATTTTTTAGTAAATAGTTGATTATAATATTTAAAAATATTAATATATAAATTAATTTTAATATATTAAATAAAAAATATCAATTATTTTGTTATTTACTAACTAAAAGTTATAATTATCAATTATTTTTAATAACTAAATTAAATAAAATCAATAATTTTAAAATTTTAATATTTTAAAGTTTGTATCACTGTAACATTTTGATGGATGGTCATAACCTTGCCCCAAATTATCTACCTCTATATTTCTTTAACCACATATAAGCCATACTTGTCCTTATTTAAAGAAGACTTCTCTACAGGCAAAACTTCCTCTTTTTTTCTAAGCCCCAGACTTATTTCAAATTAATACATGAGCTCCTGAAACTAGAAATAATACAAATAAACTTCAAACCTCTCAATTCTCAAGTGATATAAATTAACCCTCAAATATCCTCTTGAAAGGTACGAGTAATAATAATAATATATTATTATTTTTTTACCACGTGTATAATATTTTGCCACGTTATCTTATAACAGTGAATTAACAGCATAAGTAATGAGATTTTTAACAGAAAGATCAAATTGAGATAAAAATAATAAGCAGTAGGGATCAAATCAAAAATTTTTTTAGTTGAGAGACTTAATCAAAAGTTTGTATAATAATTGAGGGATAAAAAGGAGTTAACCAAAATTAATTAATTGCTAGCTCTCATCACATATTTAGTTGTCTACAAGGCGTCCCAACATTGTTTTGGCTCAAGTTGGAAGAAGATTGTGTATGTTAGTGTTACATTTTTTTTTTTTTCCTGAATTGCATGTATCTGCCTTTTAGGTAAAGCTGATAGGAGGTAATGGGGCAGCTACTGCCTAATTAATGATAGTGCTCGGTGGTAGGGGTAGGGGGCATGGAATCCCAGAGCTGATTTGGCTTCATCAAGTACCGCCATGTGCAAAAGATATTATGCCTTTTCAGAAAGACGACCAAGACGATGAGCAAAAAATGCAAGTCGATACCAAGCACCTATTGATTTAGAAAAAAA